AAACTGGCAAAACAGGCGTTCCAAGATCGTGCTGAATTATACATTTGTCATGAGCACTTTATTCAGGCGGTAAGTTGGTTATGGACCGATGCTCTTCTTTACTGTTATATTAGCATATGTACAACGTTAAAATGGCAAAGCACAGCCAAGTGCTTTCCTAGTCTTCTTTCCGAGGGGAAGGTGTTTACTCCCCATCAAATACCTTGTATTAGGTACCGGATATCTTAGTGTCGCTTTTCTGAGTTCAGGAAGTTTTGGGGCCGATTACTATGGAAAATCAATATCTCAGAAAGTCCTTTTTGCTCATTAATACTGCGAAATATGTTGCTATTGTTGGTTCACAATTTAACTTTCCCCCAATTTTTATACTTTTTTTGAAAAATTCCTGGGTCCAGTGTGCAAATTCGCATGTGTGTACCAAATGCTTCAAAATTCTTGCTGAGAGCTACAACTTCCGCCCACCAAACCAACATTGCATTTGTTGGAGGGAATACTACCATTTAAATGCTCATCGGTTTTTCACAGTTTTCTCAAAAGACAGTGAAGTCTTTGAAGTGATGCCCGCAATCGTCGTCAAAAAGGTGGCCCTAGTTAAATCAGTCGAGACGGGGCTGCACCAGTCTTGTGCTGAAATGGTAGGACACCTTAGCAGTGACTGATCGATGATGCACAAACGCTTTAACGAAGTTGATTGCACAAGAAATTCTAATAAATGTGCTCATCTGCTACTCACGTGTGCTCAAAAAGGGTGCGTTTTTGACCCTATGTGGCAAAAAACTCCGGGAAAAATTGTCCAGTTGAGCTGGTAAGTTTTAAATGCAGACCCTACTCTAACTAACTGTATACTTCTTTTGTCCAGGCCTAACTTTTTAGCAAGTGAGAGGGATGATTTGTCAGATGATGTCAAAACCGACCTACCTCTCTTTTTCGACTCAAAAAATTCCTAGCTTTAATCGTACGAGGTTTCCACTCATACTGGTAAATGGAAAGTGCTAATGGCCGATGTCAGACTTTGCGATTGGAGCGATTTTGCACCAATTGCAGGAGCGACGGATCGCTTGAGCGATGCTGCGAGCGACGGGAGATTTACACCGCCGACCAACGATAATTCGGCGCCATCAGCTCGTAAATCTCCCGTCGCTCGCACTGCGAGCGACGCAAGATTTACACCTTTGGAGCGATGGATCGCTTGAGCGATCCATCGCTCGGGCCGTGATAAGTGCCTTGGCCGTTGTGGCAGGGAGCTGCGAGCGACGGGAGATTTACGAGCTGATGGCGCCGAATTATCGGTGGTCGGCGTGTAAATCTCCCGTCGCTCCTGCAATTGGTGCACAATCGCTCCAATCGCAAAGTCTGACATCGGCCAATGAGTCATTTCGATGAATATGCTGTTTCACTCCCGGATTCTGAATTAAATATTGGTGGTCCGAAACTCGTGGTGAAAAAACGACACTAAGATATCCGGTACCTAGTATTTGGGTCCCATTGTATTGTTTATTGTTCAATGCTGTCAAGGCCCTGCACGACGCTGTTGCATCATAGATCATTCTTTTCGAACGACACTTTCACACGCAGCTTCCTGTTATGTCGCATTGTACAGTGTAAAACTGAAAGGAATGTGTCTTCTCATCACCTTTTGTACATTGACCAGAATGCTGTACAATGCTCTAGATTCCCTTAAAACATTAATCATCAAGAGCAGACAATAGTTGCTCATTGAATTTTCAGGGCGCCTTCCTCGTTGCCGAAATTGAAGGAAAATTCGGCAAATTTAATCTGCGCACCCTCCCTAACGATTTTATGTCTGAGTTATTCTCGATTATTCAGTTGTATGGAGAACTTGTCACCGTAAGTATTAATATTGAATACAATGTACCATGTGTTGGCAATAATCTGTAACACCCCTCTTTTGTTCAGTCTGCAGTGAAACCGAAGACGGCCGATCTTCAAGTTTTTCTCAGTGATTACATGTGCAAATATCATGGAAACAAGGACTGGAAAATACAGGAGATCTCATTGGGAAACGCAGTCGACGTGAATGTCAGTAGGGAAGCTGTAGGTTTTTTTTTCTTTGTTTTTTCAGGTCCTCTATGAGTTTTTATCCAGGATTCTATTCTTCCGTGTACTTCTATGGAAATGTTCTCTTCGAGAATGGACGTTGATGCTCCTCCTGGTAAGCATTCGCCTAAAGAAGTGAAGGCTTAGAATCTTGCAGTGAAGCCAGCTTCCTTTCCCCTTCTTCTCTTTTCTTCTTTCCTCCCTGTGGGTTACATTCGTACGCTTTAGACGTTGAATTCTTGGAAGACAAATGCGATGAGGAATTATTCAATTGTTCTAAGCATGAAAGCAACGGTGCCAGGTAATATTTTGTTGATATTGTTATACTCTTTCACCTCTTTTAGTTCCATTTTATTACGTCACATATGAGACGAACTCAATTTGAATGTCTTTTGCTGATATCACAAGTTCAATAGTGCTGCTTTTCTATCGTAGAGCTTGCAATTGTGCCTTTATTTTTGAAATAACATTTAGTTGTTGCAGTGGAATTCTATCTACATAGATATTTCACGTTTCTCAGAAATACTGGTACACTCAAATTTTAGCTCGATGACGTTCTCCAGTCATCAAGAATATTCTAATGTAACAGAACACCTTCAAGCATCTCCATGTCATTCATCT